AATTATTTTCTTTCTTACACCTTGATTAATACGTAACCACATTTGTTATTTATTCTCGAATCAATTTATGATGTAATCTTTCCTATATATTTTCCATATAACTATATATACATATTTTTCATTCTACTATCAACTTGTATTCTATAGTTGATAGCATGAATCAATTGAAGCTAGAACACCATGGAAAACCTGGAAGCACTGGACACCCGTTTCGTCCTATTGTGGGACTCCTCAGCAGTGAGCATCCACGAAACGGCCGTCCAGTGCTTCCAGGTTTTCCATGGTGTTCTAGCTTCAATTAATTCATGCTTTCAACTATAAAATTGCTAAAGTCTCCACAAACTCCCTTCTGATAACTTGTATTCTATTATTATCATTATTCAGTAAACAAGAAATAATTAATGATAGATAAACAAATTATAAGATTAATGTAGGGCAGTCATTATCATCATCATCATCATCATCATCATCCTGTTTATTATTATTAATTAGTTTAGAGAGGAGAATTCTGTCATGAAAAAAGTTTTGTTTTGGTGAAAGTATCCACGTGGATTGCTTGTTTGTTTTCTGGTATAAAGTTTAATAAATGGACATTATATGCAAAGATGGATAGTGTCTAGCAGTGGAATTCAGGACACGAGTTTCGTCCCACTTGGGACTCGTTAGGTGAATGTACCTGCATCTTAGATTTGATGTACACTCTTGGACTCGAACCCATTACCGTTCACTTAGCTATTGAGTACCGGAGTGAGCATCAACTCTCAAATGCAAGTACATCTAGTTGATGAGTCTCAAATAGGACGAAACAGGCGTTCTGAATTCTACCGCTAGCCAATATCCATCTTTGCTTATAAAGTTTGTAACTTAATGCAATATCTAGGCCGTCCACACAAGATGTACATATACCAACAAGAGACTGATCAATTGCAAACCTACACAACAATAGAAAGATATAATCAAACAATACCAAGTAACTTTCTACTACTCAATACTTCTATACTCTACATCATAGTTTTAGTATTCAATGACTCGATAAAATCATCTTGATTTGTTGAACTTTATTGTTTATACATAAAGATTTATATTACAGTAAACTTAAATACAGTCTATTATTAGTTGTCTTGATTAAATTTTAAAAGGTATATAAAATTCATAAGTTTAATTAGTAGTATATAAGTAGTTAGCGTTTTTTTCTGGTTAGCGTTTTTTTAGCGAGTTGATTTTCTACGGGATGGGGTCGCTAACCCCATGCCCAACCCTCCTCCTTTACCCGGGCTTGGGACCGGCAGTAACCCCCAGAGGAGCTACAGGCGGATCATTGTGGAACAATCAATCGAATGGAATTCATCACTGTACATCAACTTCATCGACTACGAGAAGGCATTTGATAGCGTGGACAGGACGACACTATGGAGGCTTCTTCGACACTACGGCGTGCCTGAGAAGATAGTCAATATCATACAGAACTCCTATGATGGACTAAACTGCCAAATCGTCCACGGAGGACAACTCACCGAGTCGTTTAAAGTAAAGACTGGTGTAAGGCAAGGTTGCTTGCTCTCACCCTTTCTCTTTCTCCTGGTGATCGACTGGATCATGAAGACGTCAACATCTGGAGGAAATCACGGGATACAGTGGACAGGCAGGATGCAGCTTGATGATTTAGACTTCGCGGATGATCTGGCTCTTCTATCACAAACGCAACAACAAATGCAGGAGATGACGACCAGTGTAGCAGCAGCCTCAGCAGCAGTAGGTCTCAATATAAACAAAGAGAAAAGCAAGACTCTCCGCTACAATACAATATGCACCAATCAAATTACACTTGACGGAGAAGCTTTGGAGGATGTGGAAACCTTTACATATCTGGGCAGCATCATCGATGAACACGGTGGATCAGATGCAGATGTGAGGGCAAGGATCGGCAAAGCAAGAGCAGCATATTTACAACTGAAAAACATCTGGAGCTCAAAACAATTGTCAACTAACACCAAGGTTAGAATTTTCAATACAAATGTCAAGACAGTCCTACTGTATGGGGCGGAGACGTGGAGAACTACGAAAGCCACCATCCAGAAGATACAAGTGTTCATCAACAGCTGTCTACGCAAAATACTTCGGATCAGATGGCCAGACACTATCAGCAACAAGTTACTGTGGGAGAGAACAAACCAGATTCCAGCAGAGGAAGAAATCAGGAAGAAGCGCTGGAAGTGGATTGGGCACACCTTGAGGAAATCACCTGATTGCGTCACAAGACAAGCCCTCACATGGAATCCTGAAGGTCAAAGGAGAAGAGGGAGACCAAAGAACACATTACGCCGAGAAATTGAGACAGACATGAGAAGAATGAATAAGAACTGGATAGAACTAGAAAAGGAAGCCCAGGACAGAGTGGGTTGGAGAAAGCTGGTCGGCGGCCTATGCTCCATTGGGAGTAACAGGCGTAAGTAATCTAAGTAGTAAGTAATATAAGTAGTAGGTTCCTCAAGGTTATTTGTTAGTTCTGTTTATCAGTCAATTTATTATTATGTTTTTCTCTAAATGACTGAACTTTAATTGACTCTATTCAGATATATGTGTGATTGTGTATTGGACTTGTAACTATAACAGAATATTTTTGTTTTGTTATTGAATAGTTTCAAGGTATTCCTTGTAAAAGTCAATATCAGTTTAGAAAAATGCTGAAAACAATTTTATACACATAAATATTGGTACAAGGTGGCAACAGATATATATATATATATATATATATATATATATATATATATATATACGCCACACAAATTTCATTTGATTTGTGTGAGGGCTGTGATACTGCTCATGTGCCTAAACTGAAGGTGATAGTTTTCTCAGGGGGCCACACCCGGAGTCTTTGACCTAAAGATCTGATCCACCAGGCAGTGGAGCATCGTAAGGAGATGTAGTCCCATGGTAGCTGGTGACCAACGATTGATTCATGCGCCATTTGTTCTCTCAGGATACTGGAGCCAGTCCATGTTCACCATTTTGCTGTACGTTTTCATCTCACGGACAGATTCAATACCTTAAAAACTGTCTTGTACTCGAACGGCTAACCTCTAGACCAATGAGTCAAGATAGCTACTTAAATTTCAGAAACTTATATTTTTATCATAGCAAACACCAAGTTCAAGATCTATTATTTGAACGGGGGGTAAAATTGCTACATCGTCATTTACACTGGATTTCCATATGAAGTCAGTCAAGTTTCTATATTGTTAGTTAACGAGATATACTACTAACTGATTAACAGTAGCTATATATTATTACGTCTAACGGACAATTATGTTTTTCAGTTTAAATCACGAACTGATCTTAGATAAATCACCATTAAAAACCTAAGAACACTGGACATCTGTTTTGTTGCATTATGGGACTCTATAGGAGTGCTCATCCACGATATCATGTTTGAGAATCGAATCCAGGAACTTTGGTCTCATATGAGATAGCTTAACCTCTAGAAAATTGAGCCGGGATCTAATTCTGTAAAATGCCTAACACCAACCAAGTTTTACACAATTATGATATTCATAATCGTTTTTGTCCAGTTTATGTTGAAAATATAGGCTTTTTAAGAGAATGCTTCAATATTCTATAAAGTTGGAAGTTTGTTACGTTTTTCGAATATTGGATAGCAGTGAAATCTAAAATAAGCTCGTAATGAACTGTATAGATTATAAACCAAGCTATAGGTTGTGTCCCATGTTAAATGGGAAGAAGTGTCTAGTTTTTTGAAGGTAGATGATGCTGAAGAGTAGCAGTTTAAGTTGCCAGTTGCCACTGCTGGTTGTTATACTGGATAAAGAAGGCTTTTATCACACTGAGAACATTAGTCTGTGAAAGAGTTTACACCTGTCAGTCATATGTAGTGTAGAACCTAGCATATAAGTGGATTAGTCAAATCATATTAACACAGCAAGATTAAATTATTAAAACAAATGTCATTGTAGTAGAAGTGGTAACAGTCTCCATAATAATAGAAATCATTAGACATAGATAATAGGATTAATGAAGAAAGAATTGTTTCCTGAAATGATGCCAAGTTTTGATTTGATCATCACTAGCTTCCTTTTAGCCTACTCCTAAACTAGCTATCATGTAGTATTTGAGGTTGTGCATATAATATCAATGCCTCAAACAACCTCATTTGCTTATGATTCACAATCTCACCAACCGATATACCACACGTACACTATAGTCAGAAGTTAACTAACACAAAATTTTGATGAAGTAGGGGTTCCATTCAATTGTTTTCAATTATCTGGTTAGTGTTTTTTTTTGAATAAATAACTTTTTTCTGTTTGGCGAATTTTTAGCGAGTTGGTTTTCTTCGGGATAGGGTCGCTAACATCATGCCCAACCCTCCTCCTTTATCCGGGCTTGGGACCGGTAGTAGTCCCCGGAGGAGCTACATTATAGAAAGCTGAATCTCTTCACTGTATATCAAAACTAACATTTAAAAAATTCCATTTATCTTAGTTTTCCCGTACATGAATCAGTTGTTTTTGTTTATATTCTACATTTAAATGCCACCATAAAGTTTCTAGTACGTGATTTCAGTATTAAATTTAATTAGTATATTTAACAATAATAATAATAACATCTTTTAAATGGTTGAATTCATGATTCAGTTGAATCTATACCACCATGAAAAACCTGGAAGCACTGGACGGCCCTTCATCCTAGTATGAGACTCTTCAGCAGTGAGCATCCACGATCTCACTTGCCTAATTTCTAAACCACTGAGCCAACATCCACGAAATTACGTCACCGTCCACCATTGTCATCAGTGAGTTACTATCTCACCACAGACCCGCTTGAACTCCATTAGTCACGACTTCTCACTAGAACTCAAGGAAATACCTATAGGAGACAGTCATTATTGAGCATAGTTGAATTCATGAGTTAATTCACTAAATATGTTCACTTCTTGTGATTTCCTTTCTTTATTTTCTGTTTTGTTAACAATTACAATGTAGATCCCATTCAAATGAACCACAACAAACAATTGAACAACCAATTATAACAGAACCACCACCACCACAACAACAACAAATCGATCAAACGATAAAGGATACATGTCCTTTACAACAATCAGAAGTTGAAATCATTGAAACAGAACATCAACAAAAACAACAACAACCAGAAGAGCTTCCGAATCAACCCAATAGTTCCATTCATCAAAATATCAATATTGAAAGTACTAATATAATAGTGCATGATGAGAAATTAAATATTCGACGTAAACGTAAATATATAGATGAGAATCAAAAGACAATGGAAGAAAACATTGTTTCGCCTATTCAAAATGATATACTATTTGAAACTACTGAATTAACTAATTCTAATCATAATGGGAATCAATTCATTGAATCATTAAAAGAAATCAATAATGAAATCAATAATTTATCCGATCAATTGAATATATCATCTCAGCAACCACAGTTAACTACAAATCAAACGATGCCAAATTTTTCAGAAAAAAAATCGATTAAAAAATCGAAAAGAAAACAAAAACATTTATTATCATTAGAGACCAAAACATTAAAACAAAATGAGGAGATGACCATAGATACTAAAATGATTCCATCCGATAATGAACATAATGAATTATTAAGTAGTATCATTATACCGATGACAAATAATTATGAAATACAAATGACAGATATAACATACACTACTACTACTACTACCACTATTACAAGTAGTAACATTCCAAAAGAAATCTCTTCCATACAATTCAATATCAATAATGATCCTATTGATCAATCATCTATAAATCATAAACATGAAGAAGATCTGAAACATTTAGAAACGAAACAAACATCACAGAATAAGGAAATAGATATAAAGAAACAATATGAAACAACAAGTATTCAACCTTCCAACTATTCTTTTATAACGGAATCAACTATTAGTATTTCAACAGATAGTGGACATAGTGAAGCAAGTGATATAACATTATCCTCCGTAGAGATACCAATCAAAAAAGAAGAAGAAGATATGTTATTATATGATTCCAATAGTTTGAATATCCTTCAAAATGATAATGAAATGCCTACATCTACTTTATTATCTACTGAATCCAATCAATTCAATGAATATTGTTTATCCAATGAAACTAATCAAGAAAAAAATCCAGATCTACATCATGACAATCAAATTTTCAATCAAACTATTGAAAAATCTAATAAAAAATCAATCAAAAAGAAACAAAAACCCAATACTCTATTAGAACAAATTATCGATCCTATAAATTCTCAATCAATAAATTTGATTCATCAATCTATCAATCAACAATCAAGTAGTGCAATCCTACCTAAAACTGATGATAATTTATTGATTACTGATAATCAATCAATATCAGAATTATTAATTATTCCAAAGAATATTCCATCCATATCAAGATCACCTCAAGGAATGAGTGAAGAAATTGACGCTGATCATACTGTTGAACTATTATCACCTAAAGAATTAGTTACTAACGGGAAAAAAATTAAAAAAAATTCAAAAAATTCTACAAAAAAACATGAAAAGAAAAATGGTACAATAAACTCAAACAGTGACGGTTTACAAGTGGTAAACATTATTGATGTAGAGATGATATCAGAACATCGACATGAAGAAGATATTAATCCATCTGTTATTGAAAATCAATCAGATAAAATCAATATTTCATGTTCTGATACAACATTCCCTGAACTAAATAGTATAGATCCTCAGTCAGAGTGTATCATAGAACAAGTACCTACTAAACAGAATATAGTTATCCTTGAAGTTAACAATCCATCTGAACAAATTTTGAATGAATCACAAATTATCATATCAAATGATAATATACCTACAACTGAATTAACTTATACAAGTAGTAAAGTTCCAATAGATGATCATTATATAACTACAGAATACATTGAAGAAGTACAATTCAATAATATTAATAATAATAATGGTAATGATACATTAGTAAAGCAATCATCTTTAAGAAAAGACGATGTAAACAAAGTCATTACAGAGATGACATTATGTGATTTAGAATTGAACATTGAGCATGAAGATACTAACGAAAACTCATTAAAACAATCAAAAAAGAAACATAAGAAAACAAAAGAACCAACTGAAAAGAATATAACAGCTGCTGACAATCATGAAAATACTACTAATACTTCTGAACTTACTTCATTTCAAGAATCATTCATTCCTCAGAGTGCAATAACAACGACTGATGTAAGTCGAACTGTAGACTCTCCTCTATACACTGATTTGCAAACGAAAGAACAAACACTACATCCAACAATATCAAAAAAGAAACATAAGAAAACAAAAGAACCAACTGAAAAGAATATAACAGCTGCTGACAATCATGAAAATACTACTAGTACTTCTGAACTTACTTCATTTCAAGAATCATTCATTCCTCAGAGTGCAATAACAACGACTGATGTAAGTCGAACTGTCAACCCTCCTCTATCCACTGATTTGCAAACGAAAGAACAAACACTACATCCAACAATATCAAAAAAGAAACATAAGAAAACAAAAGAACCAACTGAAAAGAATATAACAGCTGCTGACAATCATGAAAATACTACTAGTACTTCTGAACTTACTTCATTTCAAGAATCATTCATTCCTCAGAGTGCAATAACAACGACTGATGTAAGTCGAACTGTCAACCCTCCTCTATCCACTGATTTGCAAACGAAAGAACAAACACTACATCCAACAATATCAAAAAAGAAACATAAGAAAACAAAAGAACCAACTGAAAAGAATATAACAGCTGCTGACAATCATGAAAATACTACTAGTACTTCTGAACTTACTTCATTTCAAGAATCATTCATTCCTCAGAGTGCAATAACAACGACTGATGTAAGTCGAACTGTCAACCCTCCTCTATCCACTGATTTGCAAACGAAAGAACAAACACTACATCCAACAATATCAAAAAAGAAACATAAGAAAACAAAAGAACCAACTGAAAAGAATATAACAGCTGCTGACAATCATGAAAATACTACTAATACTTCTGAACTTACTTCATTTCAAGAATCATTCATTCCTCAGAGTACAATAACAACGACTGATGTAAGTCGAACTGTAGACTCTCCTCTATACACTGATTTGGAAACGAAAGAACAAACACTACAGACAACAAAATCAATGACTTCAAGTCAACCTTCAGATGGATTCAGTAAAAAATCATCAAGAAACAGAAAAACCAAAAAAGGTAAAACGCAATCACATGATAATCACTCTTCAAATTCTACACTTTCCATATCATCTAATTCTTTGATACCGGTTGATGAAGTACATAGTACTGTATATAATATTAGTAGTAGTAGTAGTAGTAACAGTAGAAACCTTGATATTAATAATTTCACATCATTATCAATTCCATTTTGTAAAACAATTTGTAAAGTTTCTCATGAAGAACTACAGAACTCACTTAGTCATAGAAGTACATCTTCCTTGAAGTCGAAGAATAAAAAACTTCATTTGAAAAGAAACAAATTAAAGAATAGTAAAACAAACATTCTGAATCAAATGGATAATACATTGAATGATGAAATGACAATAGAACAATTATCACAAACAGTTAATGAAGAAGAAACACAAGAAAATACTAGAAAACGACGTTTTCCTAAGTCTTTCATTACACAAGTAAGTTAGTGTGTGTAAAACAAACGAGTCCTTTTCTCTAGAAACTCTTCGTTCTCATGGTTTTAATGCTTTGTAAGTATATATTCAGTCTTAATGAAACTTTTACTACGTAAAGTAGTTTTTGTCCAACATTGTTATATCGTAAGAATGAGTTCGGTATAGACCTACAGTACTCGTTAATTTCGGTTTACAATGTTACATTATATTATTACTATGTTTGACAAGCATGAATAATTTACTAGTGTCTTCGGTTAGCCTATGATAAATTTTATTTACGAACGCTTGTTGATGCTTCTATTATGAATGCAAATGAATGGTGTTATATCTAGAGCTTTGATTCTTACTATGCCGCGTACTACTAGACCACTTTAACGATCGAACCCGCAACGTCGCAAGAGAGAAGACAGAAGACTAGTAAGTAGGGACTTTATTCCTCAAAACAGTGTCAAAATATAGTACAGAAATCTCATGTATTTATAGTTATTGGCTGAATGTAGATCATCATTATGGTCAACCAATAGTCACGTAGGGGGTCATTTTTATCCATCCAATGGGGAAGCTACACGTCGACATTCTAGAATATTCCCCTAGCAGTGATTGGATGGAATATGTCCGGCTGTTTCTGGGTTTCTTGAGGCTTCCTAGAGTTTACCAACGAGCCATCCTTACAAATGGGAACTCGAACAGACTGGAAGTCTGTCATACGACAACATTTGAGCGTTAATAATCCACACGCCAACATGAATTAAAGAAGACGAGAACGTTGTATTATCGTTATATTCCGAAATTAAGTTAGAAAAGAACATTGTTTATGTAATAATATACAATGACCTTGGGGGACATAATGAAATTAACAAACTAAAAACGACTACAGCCAGAGTTGTTGAAGAAATATGTCATCGAATGTCATCGAGTTTATTCTTTAAAAAAAGGGCCCCCAAATGCTTTGGTACGGCAGAGAATGGGGAAAGAAAACTCTTCATTGCCAAATGCTCTCACATGGCCACATGTATACAGCCACTAACAAGGAAGCCATACTCACTACCTTCCCTCGAAGAGAGTATTGTTTAAGAATTATTCCAAACTAGTGGTACACATGAACTCCACAATCCTGAGGGAATAAATAGTGTGTGAACCAATTGTTATTCACTGAATACCATGAGACTGCATATCCTTACGTTGCTTCACTGTCTTGTGGATTAGACCTGTAGGCTAAAGGCTCATGGAGTGGCCCACTAAGAAAATCACCTGTTTCTGTTTGGACACCCAGGCATTATCACATCACTCATACAAATCAATGATTACTACTACTGGTTTCATTGTTATTGTGTGGCGCATACGTATTTGACATCCCTGTGTACCAATGTTTATGTGTTCAAACAATAATAAAATTAAAGAAGGAATTAGCATGTAATTAATAAAAAACCTAGTGATATGCTTGATGCTATTAAAACTTCACCTTACTCGGTAAACAGATCGAAGGTCAAGACACAGTGGCATGACAGGCTATTCTGATCCGTTGTCCCCTGCCCTACTAACTAGATTAAGAAGTCTTGATGAGATATAGAGAATAAATTCTAAAAGCACCCAGAAAATACGAGGTCACCAATCACACAAATGAAGCTTATTTATACAATGATAGAAACACCCTTGGGTGAGCCACAAAATAGCGTACTAAAAAAAATCCGTCAACGAATGACAGTCGAGGATTTCCGAATGGGAAATATAAGCTGTAGGTCAACTTATTAGAACCTTTTCCAAATGAGTTCTGGGGATCTAACGCCTTCAACACCTAGATAACCAATATCACGTCATCTTTCCACTGAATACATTAACAGAAGTTGTAAAAGTCTCATTTTATTAAATTTCGGAAGAATTACACTTATTTCTTTCTAAATCTTCCCTATTTATGATAATAGACTCTCCGCTTCCATTGTTTATAACGTACCTAAAGGTTTTTAGAATACAATCTCTTTAGTATTTTCATTGTTTCACGTTTGTTTAGAATTAGGTGTACACATAATTCTTCGTGAAATCTAGTTCATAAGTAATTGTTCTAACAGGAAATCAGCCATCGTAGAGCACAGTAGACTTAATATACTTAACGTTTTTGTCAATCTATAAGTAGTAAATTCAACTAGATCATTCAATTGAGGTCAACCACTGCCTTAACTTCTCAGGATATATAAATATACATACATATTGGTTGATGTGAGAAACCTACAATCAAAAGGGATAAAATCGGCTAGAACAGATAAAACTTAGCATAGATGGGCATAAAAAATAACCATTTTCATTATGACCTAACTGATAAAAAAATCAATCATTCACTAATCTTACACAATTATAGAAGAAAACAGGCATTAAAAGTTATAGAATTCTATGATCAAGTCTATATGACATAAATATTGGTACAAAGGGGCACCAGATATATATGCACCTCGCAAATCTCATTTGATTTGTGTGAGGGCTGTGATACTGTCGAGGTGCCCAAACTGAAGCAGGTGGTTTTCTTAGGGGGCCACACTCAAAGCCTTTGACCTAAAGGGCTGATCCACAAGGAAGTGGAGCATCGTGAGGAGATGCAGTCGCATTGTAGCCGCTGACCAACGATTGATTCATGCACAATTTGTTCCCTCAGGATAGTAGAGCCAGCCCATGTATATCATTGGTTTGGAATCAGGGTTTTCCAACTCCCCTAGGTGGCTTTCCGTGTCCACTGGCCCGGTTAAAGCGCTGGACATTTGCTTTTCATCCTCTCAATTTCGTAAACAACAGTAATGCCACTGTGAGAAGGCAATGAGTAGGATTTCCCTGTTAGAGGCTATATACGCGTGGCCATATGACAGCATTTGGATAGGGAGAGCGGACTCTCCCCAATCTCGGCCGTACCAGGGCATTTGGGGCTATGTGTTCTATAGTTTTTCTTAGTGGTGAAGATTTACTCATATTGTATAAATGAGAAGCATTGTAGAAATTAAATTAATTTTTAGATGAAATGATATTTTTTTCAGAATAACATTAGCTACAGTATCTTTCAAAATGATAGAACAATGAAGAGTTATTACATTTTATTATGGGATTCTTTGGAGGTATCCATTTACAACCCCACCAGAAACCAAATTCATTACCTTGGCCTTGTAATCGTTATTCTATTTTGTGAATCAATCGTATTTGTAAACGCGAACCACTGAATTATAACAATGTGACTTGAAAGTCAAGCCCTGAAGACAGATAGAGGTCTTAGGTAACCACTTCTAATGAGTCTCAAACTATCACAAGACAGTTATTCAATACCCTGTGATTTTCAGTGGTTCTTTCATTAAATAATGTCAACGTCATAATACAAACCATTCAATGATAATAATATCATCAGTGTAAGGTTCCGGAGATTGTTAAGTTTTTCATTGAGATCATGAATTGATCATTATTAGACCACCTGGAAGCACTGAATGACGGTTTCCTCCTGATATGAGACTTCTCAGCAGTGCGAATGTTGCATGCGAGATTGCGGATGCTCATGGGGGATTCGCACCAGGTTTTTGTAAGATAAAGTTTCCTATTCTAATAAAGTTCATACTTTTTGTGTAATCATTTCTCCTAAACATTACCTCATCTTTCATCATCCAGAACAGAATACTGCATATATTTCTGCATAAAGTAGATGTAGATATTATAATCTAGAATGATAATAAAATTTTCTTAATTACAACATCTAGCACAAGGAACATAACATTGACAGAGGTATACTACTGAAGTAAAACTATCCATTATTTCAATACTGAATATACTAAACACAAATTAACTGTAGGCGTTTAATAGTTTGATTACTTAGACTTTCAATGGTCCATCTTCATGTAATTCTTAGACTTGAATCGTAAAATCAGCGCATGCTGATTGGTTAATTCTGAACCGATAAACTCTGACAGATTATTGGAAAAGCATCTAGAAGCTTCTTATGCATATACTATGAATATATATGAACGTTTTTCTAACCATTGATTGTTGTTCACCTACCCTTGTTATTTTGAATACAATTTCGTTCCTGTTCAACCGTGTTCTGACTTTGGGGGTCTTGTCGAGTGTCATCGTATAAGAATACTAAGCAATAGAAGTAGATGGGTTGTTTATTAGCAGAAACAACTATAACAAGTACAATGGCTTGAATCAGTTAGACGGATGTCATGCATCTTTCGGACTCTTTTCTATACATTTTCACGTTTGTTTTTCTACATAAAGCTCATCATAACATGATCACCTTCTATTTCTTCTATTCTAGGTGGATCCGAGATATAATCGGTCTGTTCGTTTAGCTGCTAAACGAAGAAAAACGGATTCAACTCATAAAGCCAAAGAAGCATCACCATCATCTACCGATGAAAGAAAGACAACAATTCAACAAAAAACTAAGCAAATCATAAAAAAATGGCATATAAGACCAAGTTTAAGAGAAAATGGTGTTATTGTTATATTATTAGCTGGACGACATCGTGGTAAACGTGTAGTTAGTTTAGGTCAACATAAATCAACTGGTCTATTACTTGTTACTGGACCATATTGTTATAATGGTTGTCCATTACGTCGTATTCATCCAGATTATGTAATTGCTACTAAAACAAAAATTGATTTAAGTAGTGTAAGTTGTTGTTTTTTTTTTTAAATCTTGTTGTTGGTATTTTATTGATTTGAAAAAAAAACTTTGAATGTTCACTGAGTAATGGATGTTTAACTTCATTCAACCCTCTCTTCTATTGATTAAGGTACAATTATATAGATTGACTCTAGAATTACTACCCAAACTATAACAAGACTAATATGAGTTTTCATGTTAAAATAATTTTAAGTTTTGACTTTCTAAGCTTTAACTTACAGATGATCTCCTTTCCTAATGACTGGTTCCAACAATAAAACATCATTCAAAACACTACATTTTAATGTTAAGTCCTATCAGATTACTTTTGGGAAACATAATTACTACTTAGTTTTTATTAAATAATAATATAAATCAAATATGGATAGTGGTTAGCAATGGAATCCAAGACGCGCGTTTCGTCCTATTTGGGACTCATCAGCTGGATGTACTTGCATCTCAGAGTTGATGTTCATTCTGAGACTCGAACCCACTACCGTTCACTTCAAACGCCACTTAGCTACTGAATTCTGATAGCCACTTACTTGTGCAATGAGGTGAAGTTTAAATTCACTTGTTGTTGTTTACTTGTACCTTTCAATTTTTATTTAGGACTGCAATTGATCATTTTCTTGTTGGCATATGTCCATCCTGTGTGAACTGCCTCGATTCTATTGCCAACCACCATCCATATTTGCTTATTGAGTTTATGACTTCAGGCAATATCGAGGCAGTCCTCACAGGACGCACAAATGTTACCAAGAGATTGATCAATTGCAATTCTAAATAATAATGGGGAGATACAAGTAAATAACACCAAGTGAAAATAATATAAGTCATTTCCAAATTGAATAAACATAAAAAAATTTCATTTCAAATAAGACATACTATCTAATTATTCGAGTTTGTAAACTTATCAAATTGTCTAGGACATAATACACAAGTTATAATGACTAGATGTATACGGACATAGAATTGATAAGTCCTTACTTACTTATTCAACCCTCGTGGAGGACAATAATAAATCCCTAACATGTATATTTTGATAACCTAGATGAGAAACAGTCTCTAATCTGAACCAATTTATTGTTTAGTGTAAAATCATAGTGGCTTCGTAAAATATGGAAGGCATACGTTAAATACATCATGTGCACAGCTTCTTTGTATTGTCGTTGGCATACTCTATCATTTCTCTGATTCTGTTATTTTGATTGCTCTCCGTTTTCTTTCCTGTTCTATTCATTTCAATCTTCTACTGGCTGGCATTCCACTTCTGATTGATGCTACATACTACTTATATCTGTTAGCATAAGTAGCATACACCAAACTACTACTGACTCAGTCTAATCTTGATATTACCTGATCTTGACTGTACTACCGAATTAATGAACAAACAATTATTTACAATTAAGATGTAATTGTTTTTACTATACGTTCATATGGGTCTCGGTAGTACTCAATAATCTCCACAACTCCATATTGATAATTATCGTATCCTCACTAGTGAATAGCTTCTAGATGAGATTTCGGGAGTTTTAATGATAACATATGACCAGTAGAGTTCAACTATGTTGATTATGAGATAGTTACTAAACTCAAGGAATCGAAGATAATGGCGCAATATCGTGAATGGACTGGGGTTAAACATGTAACCTATTCAACCTCAGCTCAGTAGACTATAGATTACGTGCTCACTCATGAGACCGAATGTGTTGCATTTGACCCACGATATTTGGGTCGTAGTGTGGTGTGGGTTACTTATATCCACATATGTAATATATAACGATGGTCGGGCATTGAATGTATTATAGTAGAAGATCAATAAGGAGAGAACAGGAACGGGACTCAATCGGTACGAAAATGCATGAAGAATAATAATCTGAGACTATGGACTGATATTTGCAGAAGGGACAGTCAAGATTGAGACAATTGATTGGTAGTTTGCTAATTAACTGTTTACTGTATGGTTGTCAGATTATAGTGAGATAGTCTGTAACTTCCGCATCAAATACATTTGATTGTCTTCACTATTGTTCTTGTGCACTACAGTAGATGTGCACTGTTGGTGTATTCCATGCTAGACAGAAACAGATGTCCAATGCTTCCAGTCTTCCAATGATTTATTTGTTTACTTATTTGAACACATAAACATTGGTACATGGGGATACCAAATGGATATGTGCCACACATATGACAATGAGATCAGTAGTAGTTATTATTGATTTATGTGGGGGATGTGATACTACCTAGGTGTCCAAACAGAAAAAGGTGGTTTTCATACAGGACCACTTCACGAGCCTTTGATCTGAAAGTCTAATCCACAAGACAGTGGAGAAACGTAAAGACATGCAGTTTCATGGCAACCAGTGACTAACAATTGGTTCACACATCATTTGTCCCCTGATGATCGTGGAACCCATGTTTACCACCAGTTTGGAATAAGGGTTTTTCTAACTTCCTCAAGTAGATCTTCCATATCCACCAATTCGTTTAAACCGTCGAACATTCACTTTTTGTCCTCTCGATTTCGTAAACAACACTCTCTTCGAGGGAATGTAATGAGCACGTGTTCCTTGTTAATGACTGTGTATGTGTGGCCATGTGAAAGCATTTAGAGATATAGAGCTTTCTTTCCTCATTCTCCGCTGTACCAAGGCATTTAGTAACTAACTAAGATCAATTCATGATTTATCAAAAATGACTTTAAAATTTTTATTATTTAATCAATGTTTTTTTTGTACTTTCTTCAATATTACCCTCTCCCACCCCACCCTCTTTTGTTACTCTATAGTTATCACTTCCTGAAAGAATTCATACCAAAAAATATTTCAGTAGATCCACCACATGTAAAAAATTCAAAAAATCTCATCAACAAAATCGCTTTGCAGATATTCTTGACCATGGTGTTACTAAGGAGCAATCAACTTATCAACCAAATAATGAAAAGAAAATGGATCAAATTTACATAGATAATGAAGTAAGAAAAGCAATTAAATTTCATAGTGATTCCAAGTTACTAATTGGCTACTTAAAATCATTATTCTCAATTGGTAAATATGATAAACCACATGAAATGTTATTTTAAATAAGACTGTAAACATATTCAATCCATATACATATACATATACATACATAGATAGGCAAACAAACTATACAAATTGACCTTTCTAAATCATATTAACTCTTCTTTATTATACTTACCTACTTACTTGCTGACTTACTTACTTGCATACTTACCTACTTACTTACCTACTTACTTACTTACTTACGCCTGTTACCCCTCATGGAGAGTTTAGGCTATTCTTCACTATAACAATAAGAATAAATGATACAACACTACTACTATTTACTATTATTATTAGAAATGAAGCATTTCAATATGCGATATGGATGTATACACTTTTTCCTTTCAATCTTGTGAGTGTAGTTCTTCTTGAGTCTTTTTCCCTTACCTTCAATCAAAATTTAGATTCATTGTTCAATGTTCCAAAAATCAAATTCTCAAGTTGTTTGTTTGATTACTACCTTTTGATGTTATTTTTTGTTGTAAACTTGTGTCCTTGTTTGTTTTTTGTCTTCCTTTTTGTTTGTGTTTATTTCAATGTTTTTAGTTCATGATTTTCTCTTCTAAATGAAAATAAATTTCATTTCTGGATTGAAATTTAATAGTTAAAGTGAAATTTTAATAGTTGAGATCATGAATCACTTGAAGCTAGATCATCATAGGAAACCTGGAAGCACTGGACGGCCGTTTCGTCCCATTGTGGGACTCCTCAGTGACAGTGGACATCCACGATCCCGCCTCACGAGATTCGAACTCAGGACCCAGGCATGTAAAATTGATACTACATGATAAGACTACTTAATAATAAATGAGTAGTTCAATTTTAATATTCAAATTATCGCGTACCAGAAACTTTCTTGGTCAAGTTGAGCGATCATTTGATTGGGGATAATGTCACATTCTAAGCTATATATGATACAATGTATTTGGTAAACTCAACGTTTTATACATTGACTTCCCAACGGTTTCTTATAATCTTATACCTTTTTTATTCAAACTTTAATTGGAATATAGGGTAGGAAATTATGATAGATGTACTTTGAAGGGTATTTTATGTACGTAAAACATATACGATAGTTTAATTGGATCTAAGAAGCATAATACATTAATTGCTACATATTTTCCATTAGTTTCTAAAATAACTCTGACTAGTTGGAACATTTTTGGTATTCTTTCTGGGTTGTGGGAAAATTTCTGCACGGCAGTTAGTTCTTATTCTACTTTACGGCTGCGAAACGTGGCTATTAATGGTAGAAGACACTCGTAAGCTACTAGTATTTGACCACAGATGTCTTAGAAATATTGCTTGCATCTGCTGGAATCACCGAGTAAGTAATAGTAGGGTTAGACACAGGGTATTAGGGAATGGTGTTAAATCAGTTAATGAGGTTGTGAATCATAATCGGCTGAAATGGTTTAGCCACGTGTTACATATGCCTGAACATCGATTACCACGAGGCTCTATGCTGACTAGTGTTAGCAATGGTTGGAAGAGTGTTAGGGGTGACCAAACTAAAACGTGGCATCAGTGCTTGAAGTCACTAACTTCTGGTCTGAGCCATGTTGGTAGATGTAGACTACTTGGTGGTGGTCCGCGTGACTATCATAACCAATGGCTGGAGACTCTGTGTGACATGGCTCAGAATCGAATAACTGCATAAGTATATACATAAGTTAAGTAGATAAACTCACATGGAATAAGATGAAATGTTACTTTTTTAAAGAAGATTTGAATCTGTACAACGTTTAATTAGAAACATGTATATGAATACAAGTTATTAACAAGGTCACTTGTAACAACCTGTTCGTTGCATAATATATTTAATAAATAATGTACTGAAGTGCTTTTCTACCTTTTCTTATGTATATGGAATCTAATGTGTTGACGTCTTGTTCTATCAAAAGATATACAAGGAGAAATATATGAATGAAAAGGGATAGTTATTATCGGATAAAATAACACCTATCAAAAGTTTGTGGTACTTTAGATGTTTATCCATAACCATATTAACAATAACTTCAAAAGATTCACCATATACACTCTGTTAACTACCTTCATAGATGAACATTGATGAAGCAAGAGGAACAAATAAATTCCAAGATGAATCAAATCATTTCATCCATATACATAAAATATTATCAACTTTTTACTAGTTATTAAACATTCTTTTACTTACTTACTTACGCCTGTTACTCCCGATGGAGCATAGACCGCCGACCAGCATTCTCCAACTCCGCCTGTAGTTCCTACGGAGGCTACTGCCGGTCCCAAGCCCAGGTAAAGGAGGAGGGTTGGGCATGGGGTTAGCGACCGCATTCCAACCAACTCATTAAAAAAACGCTAACCAGAAAAAAATTATCATTCAAGTTATTCAACATTTGTTAAGACATTTTATCCATCACGAATCAAATCAACTTTCACGTTTACCAAACCCATTGTATTTTGTGTTACATAGTGATAATTGTTATTTTTGTAAAGGAGACCCTATCACTTAAGTACCTGATAGATAGATAGATAGATAGATAGATAGATAGATAGATAGATAGATAGATAGATAGATAGATAGATAGATAGATAGATAGATAGATAGATAGATAGATAGATAGATAGATAGATAGATAGATAGATAGATAGATAGATAGATAGATAGATAGATAGATAGATAGATAGATAGATAGATAGATAGATAGATAGATAGATAGATAGATAGATAGATAGATAGATAGATAGATAGATAGATAGATAGATAGATAGATAGATAGATAGATAGATAGATAGATAGATAGATAGATAGATAGATAGATAGATAGATAGATAGATAGATAGATAGATAGATAGATAGATAGATAGATAGATAGATAGATAGATAGATAGATAGATAGATAGATAGATAGATAGATAGATAGATAGATAGATAGATAGATAGATAGATAGATAGATAGATAGATAGATAGATAGATAGATAGATAGATAGATAGATAGATAGATAGATAGATAGATAGATAGATAGATAGATAGATAGATAGATAGATAGATAGATAGATAGATAGATAGATAGATAGATAGATAGATAGATAGATAGATAGATAGATAGATAGATAGATAGATAGATAGATAGATAGATAGATAGATAGATAGATAGATAGATAGATAGATAGATAGATAGATAGATAGATAGATAGATAGATAGATAGATAGATAGATAGATAGATAGATAGATAGATAGATAGATAGATAGATAGATAGATAGATAGATAGATAGATAGATAGATAGATAGATAGATAGATAGATAGATAGATAGATAGATAGATAGATAGATAGATAGATAGATAGATAGATAGATAGATAGATAGATAGATAGATAGATAGATAGATAGATAGATAGATAGATAGATAGATAGATAGATAGATAGATAGATAGATAGATAGATAGATAGATAGATAGATAGATAGATAGATAGATAGATAGATAGATAGATAGATAGATAGATAGATAGATAGATAGATAGATAGATAGATAGATAGATAGATAGATAGATGGATAGATAGATGGACACGCTCATCTAGTAAGGCCAAGTAGTTTTATAACAACGTCCACTCAGACATTTTCTGAAGGCATTTTTCTTTAAAAAGGTAGCACTGTATATTGGTATATGAGCATCCGACATGTCATTATGTAATTCATATGAAGATACATTTGAATAATTTGCATGTCATTTAAATTTTCATCGATCAATAAGAATTTAATAGATGCTTAGACATTTTATTAGTTGGATTCATGAGTCGATGTAAGGTAGAACATCATTTAAAATCTGGAAGTAGTGGACGACCATTTCGTCCTAATATGGGACTCCTTAATAGTACTCATCCATGACCCATGACGTGGAATTAGTATTCAACTATTAAAACTACTACAATCTCCATCAACCCCATTCTGATTATGCTTAAAGATTTAAATAATCTGTTGTTTGAAAAGGATAAGTAACTGACAGGTCACCTAAAGTAAGGTTGAATGTATAAATTGATTTGGATTATTGTAGTAATGTTTTAAATATATCCTACAACTGACCAATACGCATTGACGACCTTAAACAACCAATACGCAGCAAGGACGATGGAGACTGATACTCTGTGCCTGACGATTGGTAAAGTAGTAACTTGCACTGAACGAAAAGGAAGAACACCGGTTCAAGGTCGTTACTAAGTTGAACCAAAGAGTAGGATGATCAATAAAAGGGATTAGTTAGAAATCTGTGATCATCAGAAGACAGAGACTTTCTTTCTATGTTTCTACTCATTGATGGATTCAAAGTGAATTAACTATTAATTAGTTTCAAAAGAAATGTTTGGATATGTATAGAAATAGAGTTTCTTTTGTCAGGCGGTTGGAAATGGCAGATAGAAAACCTTGAAGATAGGATTCTTGTTAGTGGGCGATCGTCAATGACGCATATCTAGAATATTGAGAGGAATGATCATCTAAGTGAATTTCATACCCACTACAAAATTTCATAGTTTAACACGTTACAATGAGCATTTGTTCCATGACCGATCTCCTATAGAACAGATATTTACTACTAACTGACCACACAGTAGGGATTAATGTCAGATTGATCAATAAGATTCGATCGAAACTGAAATCACTAAACGAACATAATATTATATATACTTGAAATCATGAGTCAATTGAAGCTAGACCACCGTAGAAAACCTGGAAACACTAGACAGCCGTTTCGTCCTATTGTGGGACACCTCAGCAGTGCGCATCCACGATCCCGCCTCGCGAGCGAGATTCCAACGCAGGACCTACCAGCCAGAGCACTTAACTGATAGACCACTGAACCGGCTGGCATCCAACAGTGTTAATGTCTAACTGCAATCAATCCACGATGTTTGAGCAACCGTTCACCAATGTCTTCAGTGAGTTGATATCTCCAAACAGACCTGGTTGAACTCCACTGGTTACTGTTTCTCACTAGAACTCCAGTAAATACCTAAACATAATATTAGTCTTTATCCAATGATCACCGAATAACAGGAACTTTCTTTTTCCGAAATTTCATCAATATCTGACACTATTAGATGAGAATCAATGTTCCAAATCGATTGAATCTTTACTATTGAATTATGGAACACGGCGTTTATCAGATAACTAACAATCATTCAAGCACAGAACAAATTTCATTTTCATTTTGTTAGTATTAGCTTTATTTAATATTTTATTTTTGGTACAATATAGAATTCTCAGCACAAAGTACTTCAACAAGTTTCCGTTTCTTACTTCTTCGTCTTTCCTGACGATAAATATTGAGTGGTCGCCAGTTAGAAGTTAGCAGTCCGGTCAATCGACATCTGAATAATGTACATTCTCTTCGGTGTATATTGCCAGCAACCACGATATCTCTGATTATGTCTTTTATCACCTTTACAGCGAAAGGTTGTACACTTTTCAGAAACGCACCTGAATAGGTTGTGTGATTATTAGCCATATTGATAAGTTGCTGAAATATATGTCGATGACAGGAACAGGTAGCCCAGATTCTTAAGCAGGCCGCCAGTAGTTATTGGATTAAAATTAATTTTAATTGCTTAGTGAAAAACTAAA